AAGTATTAGATTCATTCATCAAGTATGTATTCTTACAAGTAAGTATTCTTCACAATCGCAAAATTCCCTTCCCTTATTTAGTATTCCAATCCCCATGGATGAATTTTCTGTGGCATTAAGCCATTTAAAATCAAATACATTTCAAGGTGAAAATGCAATTCATGCTGAATTTCTTACGAATTTAGGCACTAAACAACTCATATTATTCTGAAGTTTTTCAATATTGTGTGAGATACTGCCTGTACCCCTCAGTATTGTATAAATTGATGATAATCCCCATCCACAAAAAAAAAGGGAGGACCACAGTAACATAAAAGCATACAGATTTCACTTTCAAATATTTTATGTAAAACCATAGGCAGGGTTATTCAAGAAAGGATAAACTGGTATGTCGAGAATTTTCAATTTATAGCCAACATACAGCCTGTTTTCAGACAATACAGATCAACTGGCCAGTACGTTACATTACTTATTCAAACAATGAAGGATGCACCAAATGAAAGATTTTTTCTGCACTTTTCATTGACCTGAAATCTACTTACAACTTAGCTTGCAGGGATACTCTACTCTTAACAGCTTTCCAATACTGCAGTTCACTCAAACAGGTTTCATCAGTTCAAGAGTTTTCTTAGCCAGCGAATTTGTACAGTTCATTATGAAGAGTGCACGATATAAAATTTTAAGGACTGCCATGGAGAGCTGTTATCAGCTGTCCTCTGTTTAACTATAAACAGTCTCATAGCTGAAATAAAAATAATAATAAAAAAAAAAAGTTTAAAGTTTACTGTATTTGGTCTTCTAGACCGAGACTTGCAAATGTTGTACAAAGGATGAATCAGAGTTAATTTTAAATCAGGCCTTAAAGATTAATCAGGGTACAGAGAACCAACAGCTTCAATACTTGGGTGTCATTTTCGACCGAAAACTGCCTTATGAAATTAATTTAGTATGCACTGATGTTGAAATGATTAAAGTATGCACTACTAAGAGGCTAATTTTAAGGAAGTGATCCACTGGATCTAAATGAGATTCTAGAACCACTCTTGGTGTGGCATACAGCTCATATATTCCTATATTCTACCTCTTATTACTTACTGCTCGAAGCCCCTCATGGCAGCATCTAACCAAGTGATTGATTCACTAGAAAGATTTCATAACCACTCTCTCCGAATTATCACTGGTGCAATTAAAACCACCCTAGTTGATGCACTTTTACTAGCTACACACTATATGTGCATTAAATCAATTGTGAAAGATAGAGTACAGTACAAAGTCTTTAATCCGGACGTCCATAATCCAGAATGATCTATAATCTGAACCTCAAAGCTACAAACTTTCTGTGCATGCGCATAATACCCTTACGTATGCACATATGTGTTTACGCATGCACATGATACGTTTACGCATGCACGTTTAATGTATAACGGACGGTATACGCTAGGCTAAAATTATCCAATTATCTGTTTCAGTTAATGTTGCAGATTGCATTGTTCCTTAATCTTCTAATTGGCTCCGGCTTATTATTTTTTGCAGACTGTTAGAGCAATTTTATAAAAATTAAGCTTGAACTTTCAATTATGTCAAAAATAGTTTCCGATTCTGGAGCTGCCAAAGGATCTGTCTACAAAGCAAAAGCATGTTTCGATGTCCATCAAACGAAAAGTGGAATTGCTGCAAAAAATGGATAAAGGCATGAAGAAGGTGACAGAGAGGTTAGTGAAAACGAAAAAAAATTCGATTGACAAGTTAGTCAGTATTCTCGGCACAGCAATTACAGGACTTAAACAATGGAACTTTGTAATTGAACAAGAAATTATGTCTGTTTATAGAATTAAAGAGAAAGTATTAGCACAAAAAACGAAGCAACTTAAACAACTTGCATTGAAAGAAATGTGTAATAAAATAAACAAATAAATATTAAGCTTTTTTTTTTTTTTTTTTTTTGTAAATTTTGACACCCTTTAGATTATAATTGCTCTTTATTTCATAAATTACGATTTCATATTTTTAATTTTATAATTTCTGCATGCCATCTTACCAGATTTAAACTGATGATCTATAATCCAGAAAAAAAACCCTAATCCGGAATCGTCGATGTCCCGATGAGTCCGCATTAAAGATTTTGTACTGTAACCTTATACCTATAGAAAAAACTTAAAACTCAAAATAGTTTTCTTCAGGCAGTCTTTTTTATTAGAGATCAGCTAAGCCTCACATGGGAAGCTGAAAATTTTGCAAAATTACAATGTCCAACTGATATAAAAAAATACGTAGTTGGAATTAATCTGTTACATGAAGTCTTCAAAACAGAAATGACCAAATTTTAAAATCTAGGCCTCTGGAAACCATTAATGCTTTATATTCTGAGAGTGGCTACATGTGTTTATGGATGGCTCTGTGTTGGCTGACAGTATTAATGCAGGTGCTGACATCTTTTGCAAGCATTTTTCATTTTGTATTCCTGTTGGAAGGAACAGAACTGCTTTTGATGCTGAGATCACAGCCATACGCATAACCTTATCCCAACTCCAATGTCAACTTTTGTCAAAGATTGTCATACTCTCTACTTCTAAACCTGCTGTTCTAGCCATTTCTTCTTTTGAATCGCCAATATCTGTTGATGTTTTAAAATGTCAGCAGTTCCTAAATAACTTAGCTCAAGAGAGCAAAGTAGTAGCCTTGCAATGGATACCAGTAACACTGCAGCATTCATGGAAAAGATAAGGCAGCTTTGCTGGCAATGAAAGTGGCCAATATTCACCAAATAACTGACAACCACATCCCTTTTTCACACTGCCAAAAGAGTAATAAAAATTACTACTGAAAAGCTTTTAAGAAAAATGTTACCAAAAGGAACAGTCATATATCAATTAACAAAATTTTTTACACTCGTTTACAGTGGAGGAAAAAAAATCTGTTGCTATTTTTGTCTTGTTACTAGCCATGATTGTCTTTTAAAACATCTGCTTTGAATGAACACTATCCCATCTGCAATTTATAAATTGTGCAATCTTCCCGAGGAAATGGATGCCTTACAACTGAGTCGCTGCCCTGCACTTAATGCTGGATCAGTTTGGAAGAGATACTGGAAAATGAGACACAAAATAGATTTATAGATTATAGTGTAGACTCTTTTTTTTTTTTTTTTTTTAGGTTTTGCTGTTCGGTTTAATTTTTGCTTGTTCTCTCTACAGTTGTATTTGTAAACTGCCATTATTATTATTTTTTTTTTAATGTTCTTCCTCTTCAAATAAACTCATCTAAACACGAACATCCTTCAATTCTATATCTGATCTCCATAAAACTGAAATTTCAGTAGAAACATGTTGCATCCCAAATCCATTCTCACAAAATTATATATGATTCATATATCTAAGTCTATTAAAAATAATATTGCGTTTAAAAAAAATACAGTATATGCAACTTGAACCGCCAGGTGGCGAAGTGGATAGCGCTTTGCACTAAAGGTCCAGAGTTCGATCCCTGGGCTGGGCAAGGTTGACTCAGCCTTTTATCCTTAAGTGGGTCGATAAAATGAGTACCAAGTTCGTTTGGGGGCTAAACACTGGAGGTCCTGCGAGAAGCTGACCACTTGCCTAGGGCATATGCTGATTCACTCTGGAGCCCAAAAGTCAAGAAAGCAGAGAAAGGGCACTGCAGGCCATGGCCCACTAGGGCTGTTGCATCATTAAGTTTAGAGTGTATGCAACTTGTGCTACAACTATATCTGCAGAAGCTTAAATAAGCAATTTGTAAAATACAATTAAAAACTACTATTTAAAAAAGGTATTGCATATTTTCTCTCTCATAATATGGATTTATAAATAGCCACATAATTTGAACTATATACAGCAATTAATATTATGAATTACATTAGAAACACTTCATTTTTTAATTAATTAAAACAAAAAGGTTCTCTGCACAGAACAGTTTTAAATAATTTTATTACATTAATAAGTACAGCCAACCCTCTCATGGTAATCATCTTCCTGAGATACCTCTGAAAGCAATAATATATTTACAAGAATATAAATAAATATTGATAAAGAATATCATCTTTCTTAAGATATATGTCTTTCACAGAAGATGAAATCATCATAAACCACAAATAATCAACTTTGAGTAGGGCAGTGTATTTTGCTGTACAATTTTAGAGCATTACATCACATTAAAAATTATGCTACAGTCAATTAAAAAAAAAATAATAAAAAAAGTTTGACCTAGTTATTTACAAACTGTAAAACTAATAAAGAACAAGTTAACTACATATGAAATATACTGCATGTTATTGTAAGAACGGTACTCATTATGTAAAAATTTATTTTACATGCTGTAATAAAGCAAATGTATAACTAAAGCAATGAAAACTAAGCTGTAAACAAACTGTTCATTCATACTGCTTGAAAGAGCAATTACTAGGACTATTTTTTCAGTAACAACTGAAATTTTCAGAGCAATGATAAAATACAGATAAATATTTACAAAGGTAAAACTCAAATAAATAAATTAAGCAATAATAAATAAGTGAAATAAAAGTTAAGACCAACATTTTCAGCACAGTATCAAATCATGATTCAATAACATGCCAACTAATATTTATATTTTAAAATGCAATGATAATATTTTAAATGTAATGGTGATTCATATTTTATCTAAATAACATTCGGGTGAATGCCAAATTGAGGGCAGAAGCATTTGGTCAAGGCTAAAATTTGTTTTATTGATTTATAAATGCCCTTGACATAGAAAGCTTATTGTTTTTTTGTAGACATTTAATGAAACTGATTAACTGTCACACATGGATATGAAAAATACACAGCGCACAGAAAAAAATTAGCTTACATTAGCGAAAAAAAATTATTGCATCTACAGATCGCAGAATTATAAAATCAACAAGAGAGACATTATTTGTAAATATTAATATTGTATAACTAAATATTTCTATTAGTGCTCATCAAATCTGTACTTATTATGCTTAAAAATTTCTTTTTATAACTTACCTCCGTATTCGCTTCAGGTGTCTGATTTTCAGTATTTCCATTCAATTGCGTTTGTGCAGCTTCCGCCATACAACCAATTCTAATTAATTACCCTCGTGTGAATCACTTAAGAGCCTCAGAAATAACATGAAGATTACTAAATTAGAATTTGATCCTATACTAGAACTGTTAAATCTTTTTCTTCAACTCTGCCATACAATGAGCTTACAAGGGGGTTGATAAAATATCAGCAAGATTCACACCCTCCGCTTTCCAGAACTATTTTATGAATTTATAATCACGTTTGTTTGTTTTTGTTTCATGCATTAAATTTAAATGATCGAACATTTAATGAAACACTTAACATTTTAAATGGACTGTATACATCACTTCGCTAAAACAGACATCAACAATATTAAAAAAAAGTTAGGAAGGGTGGCTTATCCATTACGCAAAAACATGACGTCACAAACAGATTATTTACGAATATTTTTCTCAAACCATGTGAATGAAATAGAAATATACAAATTTTTCGGTTGGCAAAAAATTTTAATTCAGAGGTCAGACTTAAAATATTTAGTTATTAAAATACATATCATGAAGAGATTGGACGAATTCTTTGATCCACTTATCGGTAATGGAAAAAGTCCGTTTACTAAGAAAGAAAAAAGCTAAAGAGCTGAATAAAAAAGAGCTAGGCAGATTATAAAACCCTTTCCTTATTTTCTAATCTGTTACCCCAAAACTATTCGTTTCCACTGGAACAAATCCAGTGAGCTCTAAGTGAAACTCACGGGACCTAGCGGACAAGCTGATTTACAGAAAAGCTTTCTTTATTGAGAATTTTTTAAGGAAGCATGTTCTTTATTTAAAAATGAGAAAAATAATAAAACTCTCATGTAGTTATTCTACTAAATTACGAAGACTTGAAACCTGAAAGAGATTATCAGTATTTTTCTGCTATATTGAAAGAAACTACACATCACCTTATGCAATCCTCCTTTCGATGAGAGAATCATTACACCAACTGAATCATTACGCATGTCACAAATTTATAATTTTTGTATATGATTCTGTTATTTCTATTTTTTTATTCTTTGATTATTTTGTGCACCTGTTCTCCCTAAAAATAAATAAATAAATAAAAACACCAAGTAAATAAGTATGTTTTAATTATATTCCAGACTGATTGGAGTTTGAAATTTTATTACAATCAGGACATCATATATGAATTATATATAATTAAATATATTATATATATATATATTGAATTATAAATTAAAAATTACCCATAAATTGTACTAAAACAAAAAGTTGGTGTTGGTGTATTTAATTATGGCAAAGCACACTAGGGCTATCTGCCTAAGAGGAGGGATGCTTTCGTGGAGGACTTTCTAAGGGAACTGGCTCGTATACACGTTACGCATGGGAAAAACCACAAAAACGCCCATGCAGCCAGCCCGTTAGCGGGAATCGAACCTCCGACAGAACTACCAGTATTCAGCGACTTTACCGTTCGGCCGCTGGTGAGCCTAAAACAAAAAGAGTCGACGAGTTTGTGTTGTTTCCCATGTGCAAGCCACACAGCATAAATTTACTTTCTTAATTCTATAAAAATATTTTTTAATTAATAATTATATACAATTTATTTACATAATGGTCTTTATACAAGTATATAGCATATTTATGAATATGGTTACTATATATTTGTTTATATATTTTCTTCCTCCCCCCCCCGAAAAAAAAGAAAAGTTGATTTCCCTGCTACAGACAGAAAGCCTTAATAAATGCAAAACAATTTGTCTACTGTCTTTGGATTGGTCAAAATAGTTGAAAGTGCGCCGCTCAATAGGTAGTGTTTTGGTGTTGCTGGAGCGAACGGTAGTTTTGATTTCTGTTTTGCTAATTTAGTAAATTAGTTGATTTATTGAAGATATGTCTCGCACTTTTTCTCTTATTGTTTTGTGCCCTAATGGGCGACGAGAAACTGTTAAAATCACTCCAAATAATAGTATACTTCAGGTAATAGTCATTATTTTGCTATTAAAATATGACAATTTTTATTCCTGTGTGTCAACCAGATTATTTAAATCTTCTTTCGGCTAACAAGGCGGAAAGAAGTTTTATGTATATTTTCATGTTTTTGAAATTTTGACAATGATTGATCAGTTTATGAATAAATATATTTCGATAGTCTAAAATTTTGCGTTTTGGTGTAGTAGTACTTAAGCGATAGAACTTTTCATATCAGCTTTTTAAAATAACTGCACATTTTTCTTATGTTGTGATTATCTTAAATAAATTTTCATTTAAATTTAAATAAAAATAAAGCAAATGAGGTGGTAAGATGCTTGCTTTAACACATCAATATATAAGACTCGCAAAAGAAATTTTTCAGATTCTTTTTATGTTTTTTTTTTTTATTCATAAAAGTGTTTGTACGGTTAAAAAATTGTGAAATATATGTACCCATGTAAATTATTTAAGCACTGTACATGTGTAAATAATTTATGATTAAATAAACTTGTGTTATATATCCTGCAGAACCTTAACTAACTGCTTTCATAGTGTCATAAGCATATTGAATATCAAATATTCTCTAAATGCATTATGAATAAGAATTGGAGTGCATTACGAGTAACTATGCTATTTCATACATCATCAGTCCATACACATCTTCAGATAGATTAGCCTGCTTCATCAGACATGAGCATTTGATGCTTTCTAGACAGTCAATCTGTGTACATTTTTCTCAACTTGTCATTGAATGTCTTGTTGCACACATAAAGGGATTGAAGAATTGGAGTCTTATTATCCAAGATATCCAAATGCAGTTTCTTCTCTCTTAATTTTCTCTATGTTTACATTTTATGTCCTGCATAAAACTGAAGGGCAAGGAACTGGTAAAACTGAACAAGACCACACCAACTGAACCCATTCTATCATCATAGCTTTAGTAAATCAATTCTTTCTTTATTTATATATAGTAATGTATCTTTTCAGAAATATCTCTGGTTTTGCTTTTAAACATGATGAATAAAGGGAGTTTCTGTAAATTAGCTGTACACATAATACAGAAGCTGTTTGCACAAATTTTATACGATTTTACTTTGCTGTAAAAAAAAGTCTTCTGCTTGGAATTTTTTTTTTTAACTGCAACTATATTTTTGAAAGTATAAATTTTCAACTGTTACTTCACGGTTTTGGGTTTAATCCTAGTATCCGGTGCACACGGGATTTGGCTACTTTTGGCGACTTTATGATGAGCAGTAAAAATGGGACATGTACAATGAGTAGTAAACGGATCATTCAAAGAATATATACAGTTATATATAGTATATATTATGTATATACACACATAGTATTAGTGTATAGTATATAGACGTTCTTTGGATCATTTTTGGTGTGAGCGATAATTTTCAAAATCGTGACGTTCTTTGGATCATTTTTGGTGTTGGCGATAATTTTCAAAATCGCGCCCAGGCTGCACCGTATACTAGGATTTTACCCGGTTTTGTTTTCATGCAAAAACACAGTGGATGGAAGGCTATGTTTGTGTTCCTCCTAACGGAAATTATTTATATCTGGGTATTTGAAAATGTTGTGATAGCCATGGTTTTTCGGTAAGTTATGACAGGTAATGTTGTCAACAACAAAGGGGGGGGGAGTTAGATATTAGCTTCAAGTGGAAAGATTGTTCCAAACATATATCCAAGGGAAAAAAATGGAATGTTTCGAATATTGCAAAAGTGAAATATTTAATGTTGAAAAAATGATCCTCTAAGGACAGTTGCAAAATTATTAAAATGCTTAACTGTCGACTGTAAACAAAGTGATTAATGCTGATTTGAATCTTTGGACAAAAATGGGAAAATGTTGTCACAATAGATGAATCTTAGATGTACTTAATGACTGCAATAAAAAAGAGATTCATTCATAATCATCAAAGAGAGGGAACAAAATCTTAAAGCATGGTTCAGGGAATCTAAAGAAAGTTTTTCTAAAGGATTTATGATTTTTGCTGTGTTTTCACATAACGGCAAATCAAAAGAGTGAAGAAAAAATATTAAGATCAACTTCACATACTATCAAAAACAAATTTTACACCCAATTTTCGAATATGAAATACCTTTGCTTTATACACAGTGCGATCAGTCAGTGGAACTGCTCCAAGACAAATAAATCAAGCAGCGACATGTCAAAATGTACTGTTAATTTCCTGGAAAAAATGGAGCAAGAAACGGATATCAAGGCCCTTTACTCATATCCTTTATAGGCTAATCTTTGGAATATGGTAACAGGTAGTTTAGCGATATTTTGGTAAGGCGATAAAGGTTACTAGCTAGGACTTTAGCAGTGTACATGGATAAAGTCAAGAGTGTGCGCAATGCTGTTTTTGTGCAATTCTAGGATGTTTTTTTAAGTGAAAATAGGTCGACGTGTACATGGATACCGTGTATGTGCAACATGGCAAGCAGTTTGCGATTCTGCACTATCTCCCAATTTCGCACTTAATCTTCATCATGATTAAGCACTTTTGTTCCATAAAAGTTCTAGCATAAGCATAATTCGGCTAGCAGATTGTTAGAAAAAAATGTTGAGTAAAACAAAAAACATGCCTTTACTTCGTGAAAACAAAATGGCATCCAAACAAAAACTAGCAGGTTACTGTAGCAGGGTTGGTGGCCGAAGTTTCGCCAAAAAATCGCCAAGTTACCATAATCCAAAGATTAACCTAAATATAACCCTTTACTCATATCCATACTAAATCTAATCTATCGCCAATGTATTTTTGGACTTTTAAAAAGGGAATTGTCCAAACATCGGCCTTAGACTTTGGAAAGCTGTGGGATAAAATACCTCTTCCAATGTTATAAAAGTCAGTCTTTGGAAATTACAGTGTATAGAGATAGTGACGTGATAAAGATGGTGAAGATAAAAAGTGTGTATAAAGATAGTGAAGTGCAAGCGTTATAAATAGAACAGGTAGAGTAGACTTTAAGGTACCCCTTGTAGTATGGCGAAGTTGTTGTTTGATTTATCGCCAAGTTGTTTCATTTATGGTAGCCTGAGTAGTTGAATGTTATGGAAAACCTATTCTGACGTAATCGGGTGCATGATTCTGGGAAATTTTGTACCATGGGATGTTTTGTAAGTGTTTTTGTGGTGTGTGTGGGTTTGATTCTTTAGACAGTAGAATGGCTGAATGTAGTAAGATTAATTTGAATTTTCTGTACGATTTAGAGCGAAAGGAGGAAAAGAGCTTTAATTGACTCGTGCATAAATGAAGGTTTACTTAGTAGCCATTATAAGTGTCCTTTATGTAGGAAGGATATGCATCTAGTCGAACGTGAAAACCGTTTAGATGGATTTGAATGGGTTCGTAGGAAGAAAATTTCAGATGGTCACTATGTGAAGCATTCGATCAGAAAGAGTACCTGGTTTGAAAAAAGTCATTTGAGTATGAATGATATTTTGAT